CGCCGCCAGGGAAAGGGACCAGGGCCGGCGGGGTCGCCGCTGCCCTCAGAGGCCCCGCTCCTCCCGCGTGGGCCCAGGCGGAGGGTTTCCGGTCGAAGGAGTGCGAGTCACCCCGGCCCGAGGCGTTGAGTGACCGCCAACTCCTCCACGTGGGCGGCGTCCCCAAAGGCCATTCAGCCGCGCGGGAGAAGAGAGAAGAGCGGGCGGGGCGACCGCGACGCCGTGCGCAGGCGCGACGGGCTGGTGTGCGCACGCATGCCGGGGCACTGCGCACGCGCCTCGCCGCGGCCTCGGCGTCAGAGGACCAGTGCAATTCGGAAGGATTGAAAGAAAAGAAGCGGAGATAATTCTGTAAAGTGTCCCAGCACCTAACGATAGGGATTTTAGCAACGAATAATCCACCAAGCCTCTAGCACGAAGATGAAAAGAGATCCACGTCAAGGTGTGTCCTGGTGAGCTTGCAGAACATTGGGGATAGATGGAAGGCCCCGCACACTTCCAGATTGTGAAGACTGGAACAGAGTGGCTTCAGAGTGTTGGACCGCGATTTAGGGCTTTAGAGTGCAATTAAGCAAGACCTTCAAAAAATCCGGAGGAAAATTCCACCTATTTACTCCTCAGTACCTGGTGAACTATGAACCAATTGTGTGAATGGCTATGTCGCTGGACTCCCACTTAGTCGACCGCGGCTCGCGTCCCAGACCTGGTGGCTTAAACTCACACCGGGCACGTGTGTGTGTGTGTGTGTGTGCCCAAGATCCCGAGAGGAGAATGGAGGAGGAGAGATTGCCGCGTGGCCATCCCCCCTGGGCGGGTGATTTCTCACTTTATATATCTCTGTCTCTCTGGAGCGCACGCGCCCTATAGCGAAAACCTCTCCTAAAAAAAAAGAAAAAGAAAAAGTTCAGACATGCTAAAGTTCAGTTGAAAAAAAGTACCTCTCTCGAAGACCTTCTCAGGAAGATCCTGAAGATACCATCCACTAAGATAAGAGAATAAACCAAGAAGAAGAAATGATGAAATGCAGGGAGCACAATAAGTAGAAAATAATAGGACCCAAAATGACAGCTCTGTGCAGACATTGACAACAACCTGTCTAAGTTAGATTGCACCTGGAATGTTTGGGAGATACTGCTTCAGAAGATTGGAACTGACAAAATCTCAGCTAAGTCTGAAGCCACCAGAAGGGATTTAAATATTAAACCCAGAGTTTAGGAGTTGAACTAATGACAGATATGATACATACATGAGAGTCATGCAGATATTAGCTCTAGGGAAAACAAAATCTTGTACAAGAAAAGAAGGTAATTGTCTTTGTGGCTACATAAATGCTGAGTATTGACAACCAAAAATTATATTTGGAAGGATAAGATTTGGAAAAGGGTGTCATGTAATTGGCATAATGGAGATACAGGAGATAGAGCTTAATCTTTACCTTCCATAGTGGGAACTCCTGATATCCTAAAATAGAAATCAATTAGGAGTAATATAAGCCTAATTATTTAAAAATATGAAAGTAATTATGAAAGTATTAGTACTGAGCTAAAAGAACAGAAAGCCATATAGACTATAACATATAGTGATTCCATTTAGCAACTTAAAGTTTGGGACCAGTAGGTGGCGCAATGGTTATGTCACTGGACTCTGGTAGTCCACCACGGTTTGGACCTGGCTTCAACCTCACACCAGGTGCATATGCAAGTGTGCCCAGAATTCCAGGAGAAGGGATTACAGCATGGCCATCCTCCTTGGGGGGCGATTTCTAGCTTTCTGTCTTTCTCTGGTGAGTGCTCCTGCTCTGTAGCAAAAAACCTCTCACTCAAAAAAGAAAAAGTGTATTGCTTTTTTAGGGAAGAGAGACAGAAATAAAGAAAAAACGAGTTCCCATGAAAGGTGTTTCTTTTGTTTGTTTGTTTGTTTTTTTAAAGAGATTTATTTTTGCTATAGGGTGCATGTACTTGCCAGAGAAATAGTAAGACAGAAAACAAGAAATCATCTCTGGAGGGATGACTGTGCCACAATCTCTTCTCCATTTTCCTCTTGGGACTTTGGGCATGCACACACAGGAACCTGTGTGAGTTTTAAGTCACTGGGTCTGAGACACAAACCACAGTTGACTATGTGAGAGTCAAGCTATGTAACCATTATGCCATCTGCTGGTTCCTCCATAAAAGGGTTTTGATGCTGTGATCCTCCCCAGCCTTCAGCCAACCCTAGATCATGGACACACATGCCCATGTCATAGTTCTCCTGTGCTCACTGGAGACAGAGACATATGAGAAAGCACCCCCTGGATGATGGTCTTACCACAGTCCCTTCTCCATTTTCCTCTTGGGATTTTGGGTACCTATGCACACATGCCCTGCTGGTTTTCAAGCCACACGCCGCCAGGGAAAGGGACCAGGGCCGGCGGGGTCGCCGCTGCCCTCAGAGGCCCCGCTCCTCCCGCGTGGGCCCAGGCGGAGGGTTTCCGGTCGAAGGAGTGCGAGTCACCCCGGCCCGAGGCGTTGAGTGACCGCCAACTCCTCCACGTGGGCGGCGTCCCCAAAGGCCATTCAGCCGCGCGGGAGAAGAGAGAAGAGCGGGCGGGGCGACCGCGACGCCGTGCGCAGGCGCGACGGGCTGGTGTGCGCACGCATGCCGGGGCACTGCGCACGCGCCTCGCCGCGGCCTCGGCGTCAGAGGACCAGTGCAATTCGGAAGGATTGAAAGAAAAGAAGCGGAGATAATTCTGTAAAGTGTCCCAGCACCTAACGATAGGGATTTTAGCAACGAATAATCCACCAAGCCTCTAGCACGAAGATGAAAAGAGATCCACGTCAAGGTGTGTCCTGGTGAGCTTGCAGAACATTGGGGATAGATGGAAGGCCCCGCACACTTCCAGATTGTGAAGACTGGAACAGAGTGGCTTCAGAGTGTTGGACCGCGATTTAGGGCTTTAGAGTGCAATTAAGCAAGACCTTCAAAAAATCCGGAGGAAAATTCCACCTATTTACTCCTCAGTACCTGGTGAACTATGAACCAATTGTGTGAATGGCTATGTCGCTGGACTCCCACTTAGTCGACCGCGGCTCGCGTCCCAGACCTGGTGGCTTAAACTCACACCGGGCACGTGTGTGTGTGTGTGTGTGTGCCCAAGATCCCGAGAGGAGAATGGAGGAGGAGAGATTGCCGCGTGGCCATCCCCCCTGGGCGGGTGATTTCTCACTTTATATATCTCTGTCTCTCTGGAGCGCACGCGCCCTATAGCGAAAACCTCTCCTAAAAAAAAAGAAAAAGAAAAAGTTCAGACATGCTAAAGTTCAGTTGAAAAAAAGTACCTCTCTCGAAGACCTTCTCAGGAAGATCCTGAAGATACCATCCACTAAGATAAGAGAATAAACCAAGAAGAAGAAATGATGAAATGCAGGGAGCACAATAAGTAGAAAATAATAGGACCCAAAATGACAGCTCTGTGCAGACATTGACAACAACCTGTCTAAGTTAGATTGCACCTGGAATGTTTGGGAGATACTGCTTCAGAAGATTGGAACTGACAAAATCTCAGCTAAGTCTGAAGCCACCAGAAGGGATTTAAATATTAAACCCAGAGTTTAGGAGTTGAACTAATGACAGATATGATACATACATGAGAGTCATGCAGATATTAGCTCTAGGGAAAACAAAATCTTGTACAAGAAAAGAAGGTAATTGTCTTTGTGGCTACATAAATGCTGAGTATTGACAACCAAAAATTATATTTGGAAGGATAAGATTTGGAAAAGGGTGTCATGTAATTGGCATAATGGAGATACAGGAGATAGAGCTTAATCTTTACCTTCCATAGTGGGAACTCCTGATATCCTAAAATAGAAATCAATTAGGAGTAATATAAGCCTAATTATTTAAAAATATGAAAGTAATTATGAAAGTATTAGTACTGAGCTAAAAGAACAGAAAGCCATATAGACTATAACATATAGTGATTCCATTTAGCAACTTAAAGTTTGGGACCAGTAGGTGGCGCAATGGTTATGTCACTGGACTCTGGTAGTCCACCACGGTTTGGACCTGGCTTCAACCTCACACCAGGTGCATATGCAAGTGTGCCCAGAATTCCAGGAGAAGGGATTACAGCATGGCCATCCTCCTTGGGGGGCGATTTCTAGCTTTCTGTCTTTCTCTGGTGAGTGCTCCTGCTCTGTAGCAAAAAACCTCTCACTCAAAAAAGAAAAAGTGTATTGCTTTTTTAGGGAAGAGAGACAGAAATAAAGAAAAAACGAGTTCCCATGAAAGGTGTTTCTTTTGTTTGTTTGTTTGTTTTTTTAAAGAGATTTATTTTTGCTATAGGGTGCATGTACTTGCCAGAGAAATAGTAAGACAGAAAACAAGAAATCATCTCTGGAGGGATGACTGTGCCACAATCTCTTCTCCATTTTCCTCTTGGGACTTTGGGCATGCACACACAGGAACCTGTGTGAGTTTTAAGTCACTGGGTCTGAGACACAAACCACAGTTGACTATGTGAGAGTCAAGCTATGTAACCATTATGCCATCTGCTGGTTCCTCCATAAAAGGGTTTTGATGCTGTGATCCTCCCCAGCCTTCAGCCAACCCTAGATCATGGACACACATGCCCATGTCATAGTTCTCCTGTGCTCACTGGAGACAGAGACATATGAGAAAGCACCCCCTGGATGATGGTCTTACCACAGTCCCTTCTCCATTTTCCTCTTGGGATTTTGGGTACCTATGCACACATGCCCTGCTGGTTTTCAAGCCACAGTCTTGGACTCCAGCAGCACAGTTGGCTATGTGGCATCCAGCCACCTTAACCACCACGCCACCTGCTGGCCCTGTACATTTCCTTTGTTATTTATAAATTCATGATAATATCTTGAAAGTTCATTCTTTTACCTTTCTAGTTTTGTGAACCATTCAACATTCATATACATACTATAGTTCTAAAAGAGCTGCATTCACTTTTGAGAGTACGCCACTAATTAATCCTTTTTGAAAGGAAGTGAATGAATACGGAAGACTTACTGCTGAGTGAAGCAAGCCATGCTATGAAGGAAAGGCATTGTATGCCCCCACTTAATATATACTGAGTGTCTGCAATCTATGACTGAAACTAATTGTCTAAAGGATATAGAAACGCAGTATATAGATGTAAATACCAGATATAGTGTGTGTGAAAGAGGAGGTTCTGAGGAAGGACATTTGGGGGAGGGACAGGGAGGCAAAGCATTAATGGCACAAAGAGGTGTGGTATTATCTGTTGAAGATATTTCATAGTTTTATCAACAGTAGTAGGGAGAAATGTTAGTCTGTTTAAATATCCATTTTGTAAGACAAATAATAATGTGATTGAATGTATGGAAGAAAATAAAATGAAAAAAATAAAAAATTTATTAAAAAAACAAAAAACCCCCCAAAAAACAGCAGAGCAAGCGTCAGGAAGAAGGACTAGAAAGAAAATCTATGAGATAGGGAGTAAATAAGAAGCTGAAAGAGAAAAACTTTCTAGAAGTATGAAGAGGTTCACTCTGTCAAATGCTTCTGAAAGATCAAGACAGATGAACAAAGAACAGATAGGAATTGACACCAAGGATCCACCGGAGAGTGGTTTTAGCTGAATAAGGATGGAAGCCAGATCAGAATTAATTGAAAAGAGATGGGAGGTGAGTATGTGAAATCAGTGAGCGTACCTTTTCCCAAAAGTTTTGCTGTAAAGGGAGCAGAGAATGAAGTGGTAGTTGGAGAATTATGTAGGGACTATTACATGTTCTTTGATAATAGGAGAGTATTCAGATAGTTTGTGCAATGATGGATGAGATTCAGCAAAGAGGGAAAAACTCAGGACGAAGGAAAGACTGGACCTAAGTTCGAGCAGTGAGAGGGAAGATTGTAACTTAGGTAAAGACTACCAGTTACAGGAATAGGAGCCCTTTATCCAGTGACAGGAGGGAGGAATCTATTTTCTTATGATTGAAGAACAGTGGGACAGCAGGTGGCATGGAAGTTAAGGTGCTGGGTCCTACAAAACTGGCTGTGCAGTTCGAGTCCTGGATCTAGTAGCTTAAAAATCATGCTGGGTGTGTGTGGGTGGGTGCACCCAAAATCCTGAGATGAGAATGGAGGAGAAAGGACTGTGGCATGGCCATCCTCCCCTGGGAGGGGGAGGATTTCTCATTTTCCCTCTCTCATTTCTCTGTTTCTCTTTGACAATTGGAAATACCCTGTAGCAAAAACTAAGAAAAAAGTAAATTAAAGAACTACAAGGGACCAGCAGACTGCATTGCTGGACTCCCACGTAGTCAATCATGTTTCAAGTCTCGGACCTGGGCAGCTGAAAGCACATACTGGGCATGTGTGTATGCGTGCCCAAGATCCTGAGAGGAGAATGGAAAAGAAGGGATTATAGTGTGACCATCCTCCCTGGGGTGGGGAGGCAGGGTTGATTTGTCGCTTTCTGTCTCTCCAGTCAGCGTGCGCACACACACAAGAAAAGAACAGCAATAGCTCACCTAATCCTTTCTGATTCCATCATGATATGTAGGATACATATAAGAGTTCTTGGGGATTTATCGCTTTTCCTCTCACTATCTTTCTCTGTCTCTCTCCTATGAGTGTATGCGCCCTATGGCAAAATCCTAAAAAATGTATATGTGTGTATATATATATATATATATGTACACACATATATATATATATACACACACACACATTATTATAAAATATATATACTCCAAGATAATAACGTCCATAATTCTTCAAACATTTGAAAAACAAAATTAATTGCATCAGGGCTGACCCTCTAGCACAATGCTTAAACTCTGAGCATAGTGTGTCCACATAGCTAATTATGGGTTGAATTCCAGCTCTAGTGAATTTTTTTTTCTAATAGTAGGATTCTTTTTTTTAAAAAAGAATTATTTATTTAACATTTATTTATTTATTTATTTAAATTTGACCAGAGAGGGACAGAGTGAGAAAGCGAGAGAGAGAGAGGGAGAGAGAGAGAGAGAAGGAGGGAAAGTGAGAAAGCGAACCATAGTAGACCATGTGGGGAGTTCAGCATCCTTAACCATCATGCTACCTGCTGGCCCCCCCGCTCTAGTGACTAAAAATGCCAAACACAATTTCACATACTCTTTTTTTTGTAGAGGTTTTTGCTACAGGGCACGTCCATTTGCCAGACAGACAGAGAGACAGAGAGACAGAAAGAGAGAAGTCACCCCCCCCAGGGGGAATGACCACGCTGCAATTCCTTCTCCTCCCTTCTCCTCTCGGGATCTTGGGCATGCACACACACGTGCCCGGCGTGAGTTTTAAGCCACTGGGTCTGGGACGCGAACCGCAGTCGACTACATGGGAGTCCAGCGACACAGCCATTACACTAACTGCTGGTCCCCCCAAACACATGTACATTTGAGCCCCAAATTCAGACAGGATGGAGAAATAAAGGAGATTGAATTATGATGTGACCAGGCCCCATTGTGGGATGCTTTCTCTCTCTTTTTCTCTCTTTCACTCTCCCTTTGGCAAGTGAATGGGCCCTCTGGCAATACAGAAAAAAATAATTTCATAATCAGATATCTGAAACCAGCATACAAAACAACTGGACATTGCTTAGCATTGACATAGGAAGAATATTAAGAGGTTCAAAGACTTGGGCCAGGAGGTAGCACAGTGGTTAAGGTATTGGACTCCCATGTGGTCGACAATGGTTCAAGTCTTGGATCTGGCATCTTGAAACTAACACTGAATATGTGTATGTGCATGCCCCAAATCCCAAGAGAATGGAAAAGAAGGGATTTGACATGGCCATCCCCCAGGGTGCTGGGGGGGGGGCAGGGAGTTTACTTTCTGTTTCTCTGGCTAATACATGCACCCTGTAGCAAAAATTCTCTAAAAAAATAAAGAGCCCAAAGACCAACTTTTTAAACTTGTCTTTCTCTGCTTAAGTCCTGAAAATTCGCCTTATTGTGTATTATTAAAGAATCAATATTAGGCCTTAAAATCTTGAAAATTAGGTTTTTCTTTTTTTCCTTTTTCTGAGTCCACAGTCATTAGAGTCAAAGCTGGTAACCTTTAGAAGCCAAGGAGAGAAGCTGCCATTGATGAAAACTAAAGATCGAGCCAGATGTGGGGATGTGGGCCTGTACTCCCAGCTACTAGGCAGGCTGAGGCAGAGGGATTGAGGCCAGTCTGGACAATGTAGTGAGACACTGTGTCTAGGAAAATAAAACAGAATGGAATGGAATTAATGGAATGAGGAAGGATGAAATAGATGAATGGGATGGAATGGATGCAATGGAATGCATCCAATGGGATGCATGCAATGGAATGGATACAATGGAATGAAATGGAGTATGGAATGGAATGGGATGGGAAGGGATGAAACAAATGAAATATAACATACTATATGAGTAACTTCAAAGTGATGACACTTTTTTTTTTTTTTTAATTTGCTAGAGGGTAAATGCACTTGATAGAGAAAATGCTTTCCTTGGGGAATGATCACATCACAATGTCTTTCCTCCATTTTTCCTTTTGGGATTTTGGGTTGGCATGCACATGCACCCAGTGTGTTTTTCACACCACTGGGTCTAGGACTCAAACTAAACGAACTACAGTTGGCCATGTGGGATCCAGTCACCTTAACCACCATGCAACCAACTGGCCCAAAGCCATTAAATTTTGGTAGATCAGTGTCTATCAGAAAAGACAGGTCCAAGGACCAGAAGTTGGTATAATGGCTGTGTCACTAGACTCCCATGTAGTCAACCATGGTTCAAGTCCCAAACTCACATTGGGTGCGTGTGCGTGCGTACCCAAGATCCCAAGAGGAGAATGGAGGAGAAGGGATTGTGGTATGGCCATCCTCCCAGGGGGTGATTTCTCGCTTTCTGTCTCTCTCTGTCTTTCTGGTGAGCGCACTCATTCTATAGCAAAAACCTCTCCAAAAAAATAAGAGGAAAAGACAGATCCAGATGCACAGTACTTTTTGAGTTCTAATAGCACAGTGTTTGAAAATGTGCACAGCCTCTTGAGATGATTATTTTTTAAAGGTTGTACTTAGTTGAATATTTGTGTTTGGGTAGATTTGATTTGAAAAGTCCTATTACTTTAAAATGACCTTTTAAATTATAGCATAAAAATGGGAGGCAAAGGAGTTACGGAAAACGAGTTAAGAAAGTTGTTCATATGAGCCTTATTTATAGCAGTCACACATTGGTTTACAGTAATAAAATGTGTACAATGGTAGATTAAAAATGTGCAAAAAAGATCTAGAGTAGGAAGCTGACTGAATAGTTGGCATCATGAACTAAGACTACAGACACATGTGTCATGTCTATTTTGTGCAAAAGTGTATATAATATAATTTTAAGTGAGAATGATGACTACCGATTAGTGAATGCAACAAAATAATTATAAAAATGATTGTTAGTGAAAAAAAAATCACACCTTGGGACCAGCAGATGGCAAAATGGCTATGTTGCTGAACTCCCATGTAGTTGACTATGGTTTGAGTCCCAGACCTGGTGGCTTAAACTTACCCTAGGTGTGTGTGCGTGTGTGCCCAAGATCCCAAGAGGAGAATGGAGGAGGAGGGATTGTGGTATGGGGGCAATTTCTCTCTTTCTGTCTCTCTGTCTCTCTTTCTGGCGAGTGCATGCGTCCTATAGCAAAAACCTCTCCCCCTTGCAAAACAAAAAAAGACACATAAAAAAAATCACAGCTCAGTTTAAGCTGTACAAAGTAAACATTGATTTTTATTTTTCATAGTTGCTCAAATTCATCATCAGTAGAAGAAGGTTCTTGTCACATAAGCAATGATACTTCCCAATTCTTTCTGAGTCAGGTCTTTAAATATCGTTATTTCATCACTGTCTTATAGGTTAACTCTTAGACATCAGAATGTCTCTTCCAGCAAAAGATAATTGTTTTTTAAGTCAGTGGATCAATCAACAGTAGGTGCTTTCCACACACCTCATAGGTGCTTTCCCCAGATCACTAGAGGAAGGAAGTTAGAAGACCTTAAATACTGGGGCCGGCTCACCCCAGTCATTGGCAGTTCAGTTTCCCAGTTGACATGAAGGCTCTCCTTGTCCTGGGGCTTCTGCTCCTTTCTGTCACTGTCCAGGGAGAGAAGAATAAAAGATGCGAATTTGCTAAAACTATGAAAAAACATGGACTGGATGGCTTCAAGGGAATCAGCCTGGCGACCTGTAAGTCTACGTTCCTTCACATCCAAGTAGTTAGTCAGGTAGGGCACAGACACCTGGAGAGGAAGAGTTAGAAGAGGGGCTTTGAGGGAATCAACATTTTCATTTCTTTGCGATTTGTCTACCACAATGGTGAAATACAATGCATCCTTTAGAATCAGAGACCCCAGGAGAAAAACTGAGAGCATAGGAGGAGAAAATACTAAATGTTTCTAACTAAAAGCAGGACCTGTGACACCCTTCTAGTGCCACGAAGTCTGCCAAGTTCCTCCCACTCAATGGCACAGGCAGGGTCGGTGGACGGTAAATGGGAGGGCCTGGAAATATCTCAGTCATGTGCTTGGTACTGACTTGAGCCACTCTTCCTGTGGAACTTGGGTTCTGCGAGCCTGCATTGACCCAGTATTTTTTTAATTCCCTGCCATGGCATGAGATGTTTCAAAAGTGTGTTGAGCTCTCAGTAGAAGGGCAGCAAGAACTTACTTTTCATTCACTGTTTATAAAGGCATCCCTGAGACTCAGCATTTTGATAATTACATAATTTTATACAATTAACAGCTGTTTTACTAGTTTTATGTATATATTATCTTATTCTGTAAGTATTAAAATTGGATTTGCTTTATGAAAGGATTTTATTGGCCTCTTTAACATCAAAATGTTTGAATATTTTATGTTTTAAATTCCTCTTTATACTTATAAAGTAAATCTGTAGTTAAATGCAATGAACTAAATAGAACTGATTTTGGTGTGCGGTTTAGTCATGCAGTGTTGCTATTTATTAATAAAACCAACTTCTTTTTAGGGATGTGTGTGGCCAAATGGGAGAGTGATTATAACACCAAAGCTACAAACTACAATCCTAACGATAAAAGCACCGATTACGGACTGTTCCAGATCAATAGCCACTACTGGTGTGACGACGGCAAAACTCCCAATGCAGTTAACGCCTGCCATGTATCCTGCAAAGGTAAGAGGAGGCAACACTGAGTGATGGCACAGGCCTGTGGTCCCTCTCCAGTTATACTTACAAGAACAGAGATTCAAGGCAAAAGGAAAATAAGTAAATAAAAGAAGATTTATGCAGGAGCCTAGGAAAACTTTATTTCAACTTCTAGAAAGTCATTATGATCCTCCTCATAATTTCCGAAGTCGTAAATCAAATAGCTGGTATCATAAAGGTCTTTAATGTAATAAAGTACATGCAATGGTGCATTAATTTATTGCACACGGCCTGATTGATGCTTTGTCCAGAACAATGCCATCCCTCCAGCTTACTTTGGGAAGGTTTGGGAAGCTTTAGGGAAAATTCAGTTGTGTGGGCCCTTTGTCGTTGTTTTCCTTGGGATTATAAAATGTTCTTAATATGTAAAAGATTGGAGACATGACTTCAATGAACAATGATATGTCTCCCATGAACATTTAACAGTTCTTAATGTTTTCCCATAATTACTTGTTCTGTGTATGTGTTTTTGTTCCTAAAAGATTTTAAGTGAATTAGACAGAGGATGACATCTCATTTGTAAATCTTTAGTTTGCAACGTCAAAATATACATTCCCCATATAATATTATCATACCTTAACATATTAACTTATGGTCATGTTCATTTGTAATGAAACAAATATGGTTGTTTTTTTTTTTTTCAAGTCGCTAGGTCTAGGACTCAAACCGTGCAGTCAGACATGGGATCCAGCTGCCTTAACAACCACGTCCCTGGCTGGCCCAAAATAAATGTTTTTGAACTTATGTAAATAGACACAACATGTAGAATCTTTAGTGCACCAAATATTGCGAAGTATAGCAAACTTGACATCGTTAAATTTATAAATGTTAAAATTCTCAATTAGAAAAAGAAATCTTAGATTATTCATTATTAATGCAGCTCATTTAGTTTAAATATATTTTGTATTGTTGTATAATCCATGGTCTTGAATAAAATTAGAAAATACAAATAAAGAAATATAGCTCCCCTAAAATTACTAACCATTGGTAGCTTTTGAAATATAGTCTTCTAGAAGGTAGAACAAGCCTGTGGATGAATATGAAGTTATATTATGTACGTGTGTATCCAAATATAAACATGAAACAATGTGTGTTTTTACAAAAATTAAATTACACTATACACACTGGTTTATAATTTGCTTCTTATCACACAAAATTTTTCCATGTTAACCAACATGAAGCTGTATTATTGTTACTATATATTGTATGATAGTTCATGTAAGTTCCATTTACTTCTTTCATGAGAGGGAAAAAAAAAGAGAGAGAGAGACAGGCACCCTTCAGAGGGTCTCATCAGACAGTGAACTCCCCCACCCAGCCCTCTAACTCATCGGGTTCACCGGGATGCCAGTGGGTTCCCCCAGTGTGTTCAGATAAATCTGGGATCTGAACACCCATCCTCGTCATATGGCTCCTGCATCCCACAGGGACACCCTACTGCTTGCATCACTGCAGCAGGATCTAAATCTGTATTACTTTAAAGGACAAAAGGTCTATTATATGAATTTTCTATAATTTATTAATCCAATTCATACTCTTCACCATCTAAGTTGTTTCCATTTTTCCCTTTTGTAAATTCCCATGAACACCTTTGTGCTCACATCTTTCGATGCATTTCTTCTTATTTCATTAGGGGATTAATTTTCAATAAAAATTGATGGATAAAAATTATTAGACAAAAAGCTAGGCATTATTTTTACAATGTCTAGTACAATAATGATCTCCCATTGTGTTAATTTTGATTCTGTAGTTTACAGTAACTTTGATAAAGAGAATGCTTTATTTTATGCCAAATGGGGTGTGATGAAAAGAAACTTTAACCATCACAGATATATAAACTCTGGGAAAATAATTTCTTAGTATTCTTTCCTCATCATAACAGAATAAAACTGGCCCAATCTACTTAAAATGAAACCTCTATGAATGTCTCCTAAATCCCTCATACCTCTCTTTCAGATTTGATGAAAGATGACATCTCACAAGCCATAACTTGTGCAAAGAAGATCGTCAGTGAACAAGGCATTAAAGCATGGTATGTTTTAATCACTTAGGGGGGAATTACTTTACCTACTCTCAATACACAGTGAGAGAAGACTTTCAAAGGCCAAAGCATGCTCCTCGGAACTGCAAATGGATGCTTGGGGCTTATACTAAACAATGTATTGTCTAGGTCCCCGAAGAAACAATCTTCCCCAATGGAGTCAGAATCTTACTCTTTGCTCCTCTATTTATTTCAGGAGATTTCTAGAATATTTAAGAGTCTCTACACTCCATGTTCCCCATCATATATTGAGGTTATTTAAGTAACTGGGGGATGCCTTGGCCGTTGCTGCTGTCAGAGCCCAGAACCAGCCTTGTGTTCGGCCCCGGTGCTCTCCTGAGGGCGTTGGGGAGGAAGCGGTACTGTGGTGCTCATCTCCATCTAACAGGCAGAACTCCTGGGCCCAGCTAGAACCTGTATTTTATTTATGGATCCAATGTTTTCTTGCCCCAAAGGACTTGAAGTATGTCTATTATTCTGAAGATGTTTTAACCTTTTCACTGTGTTTGATCTTTCTCTGCAGGGTGGCATGGGGCCAGCATTGTCAGAACAAAGATGTCCGTCAGTACCTTAAGGGCTGCAAACTGTAGAGGGCTGGACGGGGCTCAGTGGTCAACGCGATGCACTGTGAGACTGATCCACCAAAGGGGAAGCAATGGGTTTCTCTCCCAAGACCTTCCTGAGTTCTCCAGATGTGTGTGAGCCCATGATCTGCTGATGGCTGCAACCTGAATTGGATGGTGCTGGGGCCCTGTGCTGGGTGCTGTCTCTCTATTGTTCTCTCTCTTTCACTCATGAAAGATGTGGATGGATAAACTTAAAAAAAATATTAGGGTTGTGGATTGTAACTGGTCATTTTCCCTTCTTCAGCTTACTTTATCTCTTTTTTACATTAAGGAAGTAGTATTGATATTTCAGCTAATTCACATACTACCATTATTAACCCATCAAACAAGTAACAGTTTTGCAGAAACAGGATCAAAATATGGTCATTCTTATGAGACACTTACTATTCATTTTTGTGTTTATTATTTGATATTAAGGCTATAAGACTTTCACATTTGCTAAAAGAACTAATATAGGCGAAACTGTATCTAAAACCATGGATGTCAAATATATCTCCAATACATTCGGTTTTTAAAGAAATCTGGAATTAAACAGGAATCAAAGATAAAAATGTCACAAAAAGCTAAAACAAGTTGATGTTAGACAAAATCCCAGTTGTGTAGGCACCCTAAGCCTTCATGTGTTTGGTCATTTCTGAAAACAGTAAAAATAACCACTTTTGACTAGGCAATATAACATTTTAAAGGAACAGAATGCCAAGTGGCTAAAAATGGAGGAAGTCCAAATTAAGAATTTTGTCTTCATAATGTGTATGGCCTTTTCATTTAAATATTTCCTGAGAAATGTTGCATTTATACAGCTTTAAAAATAGACTCACAATTTATTTATATAGCAATCTGCTTCGGCTCCTTAAAGAGCCTGTGTGCGCATCCTAGGGATGATGAGTGACTCTAGGAAGAATTAGATGAGCTACTGCTTTCCTTACTTTTATTAACATACATTCATGCATTAGGGCTAAAGGGTGGCAGATGAGCTTGCCGGTATTGAAATAATATAAAAAGAGACATGGTAATAAAATTGTGCATGTTTGAAAAAAAATGATCATTAAAGGCTTTGCAATACATACCTTGTCTTTCTTTCTTTGAACCCAAAGAGTGTCCCTGAAGGATAAAAATCTATGTATGACAAAAAACCTGACTTGATATTCTTAAGACCCCCTATGTCTTCACCTGCACCTAAACAGCTGGGTATTGCTGGAGAAAAATTCACACACATGCTGACAAATGTCACCTAAATTTCATGACCACAAACCTCCAACTGAACTTGAAGTCTACCTGGCCATCTTACTCACTTCTCTGCATTCCTTCTGTGTTGGTGTTCCCACTCTCCAAACTGACTATCACTATTTTTATTCTCCTCTTCTTTCTTTAAGCTCTACTACACACATCTGAGCCTCCTCTGCCCATCATCTTCCATTCTCTGCTCTCAGCAGGTAACCCAGTATCCTAGCACACTGAAAGAACAGAAGCAACTTCATACGAAGTTCTCCCCTCCACATCCCCAGCAATTTTAACATTCCCTGAGCCTGTCCTCCTGCCTTCCCTCTTATCTCTGGATGAAGGGCTTCAGCTCCCACCAAGGGAGATTCTCCAGCAGTCACATTCCCATCCCTCGTTGACCCAACTGCAGATGTGTCTCCAGGATCCTGAGTGTCTCCCTCTTCGCTACACATTCTCCATCATTGTAAAAACTGACCTGTGAACCTCTCACGTGCCAAAGAAACCTCCACAATCCCCAAGTAATCCTCCAACTACCACGTCATATTCTGCTCTCATTACAGCAGCACTTCTGGAGAGAGATGTACTCACTGACTCCTCGCCCTTCCCTCTCATCTCTTTTCAACCATTTTGAATGTGGCTTCCGTCCTCACTCACCTAAAACAGCTCCCCCGGAATTTCTCTTATGTCTCCTTGGTGTCGAGACCAGTGCTCTTCTATTCATTTTTCATTTGTCTCAATCCCTCAGCAGCATTTGACAAAGCAAACCACTTCTTACTTTTAGAAACTTTCATTAATAACTTTTCAACAAACAGTTTGAAATCCTCTCTTAACACTTCCAAGAGAACACAGATGTTTTCCCCCTCTTGTTCAAAACATTGAAATAATCTTTAAAAAATTTTGCAAGGGTCTTTTACATGTTGTGAGTCATTTGAGAGTAAGTTGCCAACATGATATCCAATGGCCCAGAATCTGTAACTGTAGAATTCTTAAAAAGACATTCTCCCAAAAACAATCATCCAAATCTGGAAATCTAATCGATACATTACTACCACCTAATCATCAGATCCCAATCAATTTCATCAAATGTCCCAATAAAATCCTTCCTCACAAAAAGATATAATTCAGAATCATGTATTGTTTTTGGTTGTCATGTGGTTTTAGTTTTTTCTCTTTCTGGTAATTTCCTCAGTAGTATGTGCGTGTGTGTGTTTGTGTATGCATGACTTAACAGTTTTGTTCATTTCTCTTTTTTCTCTTTTAAACAAAAAACATCTAGACACTTTGGAAGACCATAGAACAATTTTGTAGAGTGGCCCTAAGGTTTTTCTGATGTCCTGCTGATTAGATTAGATGTTGCTTCTTGGGCAGGAATATCACAGGGGTGATGCTCTTTTTTTTTTTTTTTTCTTCAAAGGTAGCGACTTTGTTTTAATGCAATCACTACTTACAAAAATGGGCAAAAGGGAGACATGAATAGCTACACAAGTTACCACAATTTTAAGTGAACAAAAGCCTACATTAAATGCGTCTTTTATAAAATAACCACTTATCCGAGTACCTAAAAGCTGAATGAGCCTGCAGTATTTGGTACTTCCGATACTTCCATTAGCTTCAGTTTCACTAGTCCCTTTCCAAACAGAAAGTTAAAAGATGGCCAGCTGTTTACAAAAAGACGTGTCCCTCTGTGCCTCCGGTGGCCGTTCTGAACATCCTCCTCTTCAGCTCAGCTGTTTTCTCGTCTATGTCAGCACCACAATCCTCTGGCACCTTTTCAATGCCTTCATGGTACTTCTCCAAAGCTGTTTTCAAGTTTAAAAATATTTCATGGGACTTCAATTTCTCCCTTTCAGTGGATCTTTTAGTTGCCGAATTCCAAACTTCATTTTCTGGATTTCTTGTTTAATTGTGGTTACCTGCTCAAAAACAGCACCTCTTTTTTCTCGAACTTTATTGCAATCCTCAATTACTGTGCGTTTGTATTGCTTCACATCTTCATGCTTCTTATTTATTTTGAATTGTGCTGTGGCAAGTTTTTCCTTCTTCACAATCATCAGTCTCTTGAATGAATTTTCCTCAGTCTTCAATTTCTTCAGTTCTGACTCATCACTCTCGATTTGGTCCTCCAAGTTCAGGCTCTCCTTGAAGACACTGTTAATTTTTCCCTGTTATCTGCAAGGTCCTGTATTTTCTTTTGCTATAACTGCACCTCCAGCTGGCAAGAAGGCAGGCAGTCAGCTGAATCTCTATAGATTTCATACTTCTCCATCACTTCTTGCCTGGAATTTTTAAGCTTCTGGACTATTTCTTTCATTTTTTTCTTTATAATTCTTCAGCTTCTCTGGAGAATCCACAATTTTTGTTTTCAAATTCTCTTGAACTTCTTTCAAAGAAACTACCAACAATTTTAGTTGATTCAAACACTTGGTTTTCTCTGAAATATCTGACTTCTTTTGGGAATTTCCATCTTGCAGCACTATCGTTTTTTTTTTTTTTTGAGGGTTTCACTGTAGGGCGCGTGCGCTCGCCAGACAGACAGAGAAAGACATAGAGACAGAAAGCGAGAAATCACCCCCCAGGGGGGATGGTCACGCCGCAATCCCTTCTCCTCCATTCTCCTCTAGGGATCTTGGGCACGCACGCACATGCGCCTGGCGTGAGTTTTAAGCCACCGGGTCTGGGACACGAACCGCGGTCGACTACGTGGGAGTCCAGCGACATAGCCATTACGCTAACTGCTGGTTCCCGCACTATCGTTTTTTGACGAAACTCCTGATTCAGTGATTGCTGCAGCTCCTGAATATCATCTGAAAGATGCTTCAGCTCTTCTTGCTCTTCCACTGGAACAGAGTCAAGTCTCTCCAATTTCATCAATGCCTCCTGGTGTGCTGTGTTCAACGGCTGCATTTTGTCCAAAGAAGATTTATATTGCCAAAGAAATTCCATGTATGTTTCACGGCATGCTTCTCCGAAGTGAATAAAGTTGATGATGTCACTTAAAAACTGACTTGTCCATTTTGCTTTTGGATATAGAATATCAGCAGTCTCAAAGTCATTCACCTGGCAAATGGGCAGAAATGAGTCCAGATGAATAAATACATTGCTGTATGGTAAGAAGCCTTCCATTATATGTGGACACATGACTTCGGTGTTCACTGGCGTCATGCAAAAGTGCTCCAGCCGAATTCCGTACACTATCTGTAAAGCTCTCATGTAGGTCGTGTACAAGACTTCGGGCTTTGGATTTGGATAAAGAGCATTCTTGGAGAGGTTTTTACCATCAGCTCCTGTTATGATCTTGTTTCGAATATGAACCACAATCTCAGCTACATTATATCTGGGGAAAGACAAGGTTTCCATCTTGGGAGTTTTCTGTTAATCTACAGCTCGGCCGGCCAGGGAGACGGTGAGCGCTGCGAGCAGACACGGTGCAGCCAAAACCCACCAGACTCTGGCCGGCAGTTGTTGCTTTTCAAACCTGCCACCTCCTCAGAGGTGATGTTCTTCTCACTGCATCCTCTAGGTGGTACACATTCTTGATTTGTTCCATTAATTACTGAGATGTTTACGTGGATCACTTGATTAAGGAGATGTCTGCAAGTCTCTACTGTAAAGTACTTGGGTTGCAGGGAAAGTACCATGATCCTGACTGGCTGAGGCTGGGGCTAGGATTGTGGCATGAAGACTGTTGTGGATATCTCTCTCTTCACCTCTGTCTCTCTAGCTCTTTATCTACCTCTCTCATGAAATAAATAAGAAAATATACTTTGAAAAAAAATGTGTGGCATCTTCTTGGTAGAAAGTTTTACCCCTTTGCTGGAAGACATTAAGAGAGTCTCAAATCAATAGATATACACCATGTTATGTTCATGGCTAGAAAGAATCAATATTGTAAATATGACAGTTTCTCTCAGATTGATCTATAGCATCAATATAAAAGGAATTAAAGGAAGATTTACTACTAAGTGAAGTTATTCAGACTGTGAAAGAGAGGCATCGTATGTCTCAACTCAACACATAGCAAACGTCTGCACCCTAAGGCAGAAGCTGAAAGACTGTAAGATATGAAAGCATGGGAACAACTGTGGACTCGAACCCCAGTCGGTCATGTGGGAGTCCAGCACACGCCACCTGCTGGCCCCTGGATATCAAGACTTCTAAGTGAGAATGTGTGAACTTGGTGCAAGAATAAACAAGAAAGACTCTGGAACAATAAGAAACAGGAAACCACATATATATAAACTAGATTTATAATAGCATGGGAATTAGTAGAAACTGCACTGGAGTGAAAGAATGAAAATAGGATCTTTACCTCCTGCTATACATAAATATCAATTCTACATGGGTTAAATAAGAAGTTACATGAAAGGAAAAGTTAGAGTATTTTAAAATAAAAATGTAGGATTATATGTGTGTGTGTGTGTGTATATATACATATACATATTTTTAAAGAGAGATTTTGCTATACCATGTGTGCACTTGCTGGAGAGATAGAGAGAGACAGAAAGTGGGAAATCACAACCTGGGGGGATGGCCATGCAGCAATCCCTTCTCCTCCATTCTCCTCTCGGGATCTGAGGCACGCATGCACACGTGCCCAGCATGAGTTTTAAGTTGCCATCTCCAGCACTCAAACCACAACTATGTGGAAGACCAACGATGTAACTATTCTGCCATCTGCTGGTCCTATGTAGGAAATATTTTTAAAATTTACTTCATACATCAATGTGACAACAGGGAAAGACGAGCCCCTACACAGGGTCTTATACCCCGATTGTCCACTCTTCTAGCCTTTGACCAGCCATGATCATGGGTGCATGCACCTGGCATGTAGTCGGTCACCAGTGGAAAAAAACCTGTAATATTCCCTGTGATTCTAGCATCACTTGAACAGCAAATTACCACAGCAGTCCTATTAAACAGGACTTAGAGGAAATAATTTTATGTCCTAGATTGAAGACGAATTTCTTAAACAACACATACATCTACAATTAAATTTTTTTTCTGGAGAGAGGCTTGCTATAGGGCATGTACTCTCACCAGAGAGAGAGAGAGAGAGAGAGAGAGAAATCACTCCCCAGGTGGGATGGCTATGCCATAATCCCTTCTTTTCCATTCTCCTCTCTGCATCAGGCACACATACACACACACACCTGGCAAAAGTTTTAAGTCACCAGGTCTGGGACTTGAACCATAGTTGACAACATGGGAGTCCAGTAACATAACCATTATGCCATCTGCTGGTCTCTACATCTACAATTAAAAAGGGAAATATTGATACAATTGACTATATTAAAATAGGCATTTCGGATCATTAGAAGAGTGAAAAAGAGAGTCTCAATGAAATAGAAGACACTTTAAACACATAACTGACAAAGACCAGCATCGAGCATATATAATATACTACAACTCTATAAGAATGACAGAAATCCTATAGAAAAAATGGGCAACACTTAAGAACTGACATTTTATGAAAGAAACATAGATAGTACATAAACATATTAAATCCAATGTTAGTAATTTCAGAAATGCATATGAGAATCACAGGTGGCATGACCAGCAGATAGTGTAATGGTTATATTGCTGGACTCCCACATAGTCCACCTTGATTTGAATCCCAGACCCAACAACTTAAAACTCATGCCAGGTGCGTGTGCGTGCATGCCCAAGATCCTGAGAAGAGAATGGAGGAGAAGGGTGCAGCATGACTATCCCTCCAGAGAGGGCGGGTGATTTCTTGCTTTCTATCTCTGTCTCTCTCTCTCTCTGTCTCTCCAGCAAGCTCCTATGCCCTATGGCAAAAATCTTTCGAAAAGAAAAGAAAAATCATAGGTGGTATTTTACACCTATGAGAATAGCCAAAGATATTTAATCTGATTAACCAGTTACGAGTAATGGCTGAAATAGGGTGCAATGACATGGACTGCTGGAAAGGGGTAAACTGGTGCCACTGTTTCAGAAGTCCATTTGGCATTACTTTGTAAAGGAAATATCAATATATCCCCTAGAGAAACTCTTGTTCCTTTACACATGTTGACATTTACAATTATGTATACAGCAACATTCATTGAAATAACCAAAATATCGAAGCAACTCAAACATCCACCAATAGGGCAGATTAATAGGACATTCACAGTATATAATAAAACACTGGGTAGCTTGAAGCAATCCTTTTTTCTTAGCTATGCACAGCAACATGAAGAAATCGGTAACTAAGGCAGACTGGAAAAAGCAAGTCACAAAAAATTCACACAGTGTTTCATTTGTATGAAGTTCCCAAGCAAGCGAAATTGTGATGCTGTATTAGAGATGATACCTTAGGGAAATACGATGCAAGGAAATCCTTACAGAGAGGTAGACAAAAAGGGTTCCCAATGTACTATCACATACTGTCAAGAATAATGATTGGCACTCACTACTCTCTGGGCTGTAAATATACATCTTAATTTGCACATATGATATGTTTCACAATAAATATATACAATAAAATTAAAATACTAGAAATGTACTGATTGTTGTACAAGTCTACCTTACATAGAGATTCTAGGCCACTTAAGGGACCATTATTCCTAGAAAATGGTACTATAAATATTGAGGATAATTCCTAGACATTTTCAAAAACATGGCAATACTACTTTAAAATAATTTTCTAGTGTATTTGAAATTTACTTTAGGGCAGTTGAAGTGGCACATACGCTGTCCAGTGCAGAAACGGAGGCAGGGAGAGCTGGTGTTACCGTCTCCTGCTCTATCAGAGAATCTCAGCGTTGCAAAGAAGAGTGTGGATACACTTCCGGCTCCAGCTTCTCTCTTTCTGTGCAGATAGCACACCTGTAAGCATGGCGAACGCCCCTAAAACCCGCCGCACCTTCTGTAAGAAGTGTGGCAAGCACCAACCTCATAAAGTGACACAGTACAAAACGGGCGAGGATTCTCTGTGTGCTCAGGGACAGCGGCGTTATGACAGAAGCAGAGTGGCTATGGTGAACAGACTAAGCCTATTTTCTGGAAAAAGGGAAAAAAACTACAGAGTTGTGCTGAGGCTCGAATGTGTTGAGCCCATTGGCAGATCTAAGAGAATGCTGGCTATAAGAGATGTGAGCACTGTGAACTGGGAGGAGATAAGAAGAGAAAGGGTCAAGTGATCCCAGTTCCAAGCTTCACCTTTTTTATTATGAAGACGACAAAATCTTGAGCTGAATGTTCACATTTGATTACAGTTGGTCTTTTCATGAAGGAATAAAGTAATCAATAAAATTTCCCTTTTTGGGAAATTGGTTTCATGGTAAAAAAAAAAATGTAAAGAGGGGTGTGTGAACTTGGAAAAAACATCTTTTAAAACTATCATTACTTCAGGCCAGACAGTGGCCCTGAGGTTAAGGTGACTAGACCCCATATGACCAACTGAATGGTTCAAGTCCTGGACCTGGTGGCTTGAAAATCCTGCTGCTGCATGTTCATGTGTGCCCAAAATCCTGAGGGAAGAATGGAGGAGACGGGATGGCAGCATGGCCTTTCCCCTGGGAGATGATTTCTCACTTTCCCTCTCTCTGTCTCCCCTGGCAAGAAAGCACAAAAACAGCTATCATTATTTTGTAATACTTCATTACAGATAGCATCAAAATAGAGTAGAGGGCTTGTATTTATTACAGGTGAGCTCAAGACACTGCTTCGTTTCAGGATAACCATAAAGTTAGTCTTAGCACAGCACTGGGAGGAAGAAGCCGAGTGCCTGGTAACTAGGGATCGGGAAACTCAGGACACAGAAACGCTCAGTCTAAATTGAGCAGCGAGTGTGACGGGAACACGGCCGCAGGTAGACTGTGCCCTCGGCAGGAGCAGAAGCCCTTCATCCGGTGATAGGAAGGAAGAATGGCCCCGGGGAGGTGAGAGTGCTGCCCTGGTGATGTGGAGGGGAGACCGTGGCATGAAGTTGCTCCTGTTCTTTCAGTGTAATGTAACAGGAGACTGTGGGTACCTGCCGAGAGCAGGAGAACACAGGGTGAGGGGACAGAGGAGGGTCAGATGTGTGTATTAGGCCGCTTAGAAAAAAGGCCCTATTTTGCCTCTGCTTCTGTAATACTGTCCTGCGACTGATGAGAAGAGGCAGTGTGCACTTTCACTTAACTACTCCTTCCTCAATGTAAAAATGAGACAATGAACTGAAGATGGAACGCTCTGCAGTTAAACTCCACAACCTTTTTACTTTTAAAAAATCTATCCATTTATTTCTTCCTTAACTGAGAGAGAGATACACAGAGAGATAGAAATAGAGAGACAGTGCCCTCAACAGGTCACTGACTTCGTAATCCACTGCCAGCTCCAGTCAGCATCAGATCATGGGCTGGCCCATCTCTGCTGTATTCCGGGACATCTGTGGACGCGAACCTAGAACCTTCCCTTGAAGAGTGTCGCATTTACCACCGGAACACGGTCCAGCCCTCTACACTCCACAGCCCTTAATGTACTGATTGACATCTTGGTTCTGACAGTGTTTACTCCATGCCCTCCTGGAGAGAAAGGCAAAACACATGGTGAAAACGTTAAAACATCTTCAGTGTAATAGACATACTTCAGGTCCTGTGGGGAAACAAAATACTGTATCCAGAATAAAACACAGGCTCTAGCTGGGCCCAGGAGTTCTGCCTGTTAGATGGAGATGAGCACCACAGTACCGCTTCCTCCCCAACGCCCTCAGGAGAGCACCGGGGCCGAACACAAGGCTGGTTCTGGGCTCTGACAGCAGCAACGGCCAAGGCATCTCCCAGTTACTTAAATAATCTCAATATATGACGGGGAACGTGGAGTGTGGGCACTCTTGAATATTCTAGAAATCCCTAAAATACATAGAGGAGCAAGGATAAGATTCTCGATCAGTTTGAGTAAAGTAATTCCCTCAAGCATATAGATAATAAGCACAAGCCAAATGCTGTCCATGTCTGTTTTTGGAAACATACTTTGGTCTTGCAAGTTTTCTATAGTGAACAAATCAAAAGCAGGTAAAATATAATAGTTTCCCCCTTAAGCACCTAAACATACCATGCTTGAATGCCTGCTGGGTCACTGACAACCCTCTTTGCACAAGCTATGGCTTGAGAGATGTCATCTTTCATCATATCTGAAAGAGAAGTGGTGGGGAATGAAGAGAACTTTCATATACATTTCACTTTCGTTTAGATTGGGCCCCCTTTATTCTCTTAGGCTGATGAAAGAACACCATGAAATTTCCCCCCAGAGTTCATAGATCTGTGTTAGGAAAACTTTCTTTCATTGTATCCTATTTGGCATGAACTAAAACATTCTCTTTCTCTTTTTTGAAAGGCATTGCAAGCTCTGGAATTACTAACTAAAACCAGGCAAAGCCCTGCTTTGATACTAGACATTGTACAAAAAGTCTGGATATTCTTTACTCAGTAATTCCATAACTGAAAATTAATCCCCTGATTAGAAATGCATCTAAACATGTGAGTAAAAGGTGTTCATGATGATTTGTAATGAGAAAATGTGGAAATAAAAGCTTGATAGCAAGAGCAGGATCAATAAATTATGGAATATTCATAGAGTGGAATTCTTTCCATCCTTTGAAAATAGACAGATTTAGGTCCAGAAGTGGTAGCACAGGTGTAGAAGCTTCTGTGGGATACAGGAATCATCTGGGCAGGCCTGGGGTCGGATTCCAGATTGGCTTGAATGTGTTCGGGGACTCACAGGCAAGCTTGGGGTCCTGGCTGGCTACAGTGTGTGTATGGGGGGATGGGGTTATTCAACATCCGCTGGGAACTTCATTAGTTCTCCAATCTTTCTCTCTCTCTTGAAAGAAGTAAATCAATATTAAATAATAATAACAGCACAACTTTGCAATGGTCAATATGGCGATACTTTTGTATGATAAGCAAATTACAAACTGGTACACATAGTACAATATTTTGTGACAATGCACCTGGACTACACATTTGTATGTGGGTACGTATGTGCATCATATAACTTTACATTCATCTTCATGATTGAAATTCTTTCTGGGAGGACATACACTAAAATTTTCCACGGTTACAAGTCTCTGAGTAGTAAGATTGTCAGTGCTATCATTTCTTTTTGTATGTGCTAATTTTATTCAATGATCACAGATTATAAAATACTACAAAGTAGTTTTCAAGGAAAATTAACTAGAGTTAAAAAAGACTATTCTAAGATTAATCTTCTCTATAGAGAAGTTTAAGATTTAAACATTTAACAAAATCAAGTTTGAGAATGTATGGTACAATTTATGCACTGAAGTTTTTCCATGTAAATTCTGCTTTTATATGAGTTAAAAGCATATTTGTTGGGTTAGCAGGTGGCATGGTGGTTAAGTGTTCGGACTTCCACATGGCTGACTATGGTTTGAGTCCCAGACCTGGCGGCTTGCTTTCTCACTATACTTCTCTTTCTCTGTTGACTACATGTGCCTATGGCATATTTAAAAATAATAATAACAGACAAAATTAAATAAATATATATATATATTTTTAGAGAGAGAGGTTTTTTACTTCCTTTTATTTTTTTTTTAATTTTGCTATAGGGCACGTGTGCTTGCTGGTGGGACTGAGAGAGACAGAAAGTGAGAATTCATTGTCCAGGGGAGATGGCCACACTGCAATCCATTTTCTTCCAATCTCCTCTTGGGATTTTGGGCACACATGCACACACGTCCAGCGTGAGTTTTAAGCTACCAGGTCCAGAACTTGAACTGCGGTTGGCTGTATGGGAGTCTAGCACCTTAACCACTACACTACCTGCTGGCACCTAAATAAATAATTCTTTTAAAAAAGTGTTTGTTTCACCCCAATGAAACAGACCCGTAAGTTCATTCCTTAGGTATGATTACCACTATGTAAGAAATGTATTCTTTGGAGTGCAAACTAAAGAATTTAGAAATGAGATGTCATTCTGATTTGAATTCACTTAAAAATCTTTCAGGAGTAATATACATAGAAGAAGCAACTATGGCAAAATGTTAAGAACTATTAAACATGCCTGACCGAGGTATGACTGTTTATTATGCTGATGTCTTTAATTGTCTATATATTTATCATATAAAGTGAAACAATGAGAAAAGATCAAACAATAAAACTCTCCCTAGCCCTCCCTGAAGTGAGCTGGAGGGAGAGTAGCCTTGTGGACAAAGCGTCAGTAAGGCCACGTGCAATTGGCTGAAACGTCACTGCAGTGGCCTTTTCACATTAAAGAGCACCAATCTCTAATGGCTATTTGGCTTCTTACTTAAGGGATTATGAGGAAGGTAATAATGGCTTTGTAGAAGGTGGGATGAACTTTTTCTAGGTCCCTAGCACACTTTGTAAGATTTTTAAAATTTGCCTCGAATGTCTGTTCTTGCAAGTATAAACTGACGGGGCCCATGACATCACTCAGATGTCATCTCCTCTTACCATTGCAGGATACACGACAGGCATTAACTGCTTTGGGAGTTTTGCCATCGTTACACCAGTAGCGGCTGTTGATCTGGAATATTCCATAGTCAGTGCTTTGGTCTTTACGATTGTTGTTTATAGCTTTTGTGTTATAACCACTCTCCCACTTGGCCACACACATCCCTAAAAAAATGTTCTTTTATTAATAAAGAGCAACACAGATGGCCAAACTGTATACCACATTCGCTCTATTTAACGGATTCTATTTGACTAGTGACTAAATCTAGAAGTATAAAGATGCATTTAAAATAAATCATGGTATAACGTTTTTAAAAATAGATGTTAATTATATAAAATTATAGAATTAATAAAATCCCGAGTCTCTGGTATGCTTATATAAACACCAATTGAAAAGAAATAAGGTCTTCCTGCCCCTATATTGAGAGTTTCAACACACTTTTTAAACATGCAATATCATGGCAGGGAATTAAAAAAATACTGTGTCACTGCCGCTTTCAGAAGCCGAGTTCCACAGGAACAGTGGCTCCAGGCAGTATCGGGTAAGTGACTGAGCTCACACATAGTAACCAGTGGCTCGAGTCAGTACCGAGTACGTGACTGAGCTACTCCAGGCCCTCCCACGTACCGTCCTCGGAGCCTGCCTGTGCCATTGAGCGGGAGGCACCCGGCAGACTTCGTGGCACTAGTAGGTGTATCAGGTCCTGCTGCAGTAAGAAAGGTTTAACATTTTCCCCTTCTACGCTCTCAGTTTTTCATCTGAGATCTCTGACTCTAAAGGACCCAGTGGCTTTATTTCACCGCTATAATAGACAATTGCAAAGAAATGAAAATGTCGATTCCTTCAAAGCCCCCTCTTCCTACTCTTCCTCTCCTGGTGTCTGTGCCCTACCTGGCTAACTCTCTGGATGTGAGAAGGAGGGTAGACTTACAGGTTGCCAGGCTAATTCCCTTGAAGTTATGCATTCCGTGTTTTTTCATAGTTCGGGCCAACTCGCAGCTTTCATACTTCTTGCCCTGGACAGTGACGGAAAGGAGCAGAAGCCCCAGAACAAGCAGAGCCTTCATGTCGACTGCGAAGCCAGACTTGTGATGACTGGGGAGTGCCAGCCCAGTATTTATTGTCTTTGAACTTCCTTTTTTTTTTTTTTTTTTTTTTAGTGATTTGGGATGGCACTTTTGAGGTGTGTGCAAAGCAGGAAGTGTTCATTGATTGACGGATTAAAAATTATTTTAAGCTTAAGAGACTCCTTCTGATGTCTTAAGGGTTTATCTATAAGTTCGTGATGAATTGGCAATATTTAAAGACCTGACTCAGGAAGAAATGGAAGTAGTACTCTTTTCAAAACAGAAGCTTTCTTCTATTTGATGATAAATCTGAGGAAGTATAAAGAAAAAAACTCATTGACTTCTTTGTACAGTTTAATATGAGCTGTGATTTTTTTTAGTAGCATCATTTTCATGAATTTTTTTATGCATTCTCTATCTTGTATTCAACATTTTCACTGAAATCATTTTGGATACACTTTTCCACAAATGGACATGACACACGCACCTATTGTCTTGATGAGTATATAGAATGACTTCGGATACATAGCCAGCTCCTACTGTAGACTTTTTAGTTAGTATTGCCCATTTTAATTATGACAAATCAGTGTTTGGGACCAGCAGATGGTGTGATAGTTACGTTGCTGGATTCCCACGGTTGCCCATAGATCGAGTCCTGGACCCAGCAGTTTAAAACTCACTCAGAGCATGTGTGCATGTGTGCCCAAAATTCCAAGAGGAGAGTGGAAGGGAAGTGTTATGACATGGCTATTCCCTCCCCCCCGCCGGGGGTGATTTCTCACTTTCTGTCTCTCTGTCTCTCCAATGAGTGCACATATCCTACAACAAAAATCTTTCTTTCTTTTTTTTTTTTGGAGAGGTTTTCGCTATAGGGCGTGTGCGCTCGCCAGACAGACAGAGACAGAGAGACAGAAAGTGAGAAATCACCCCCGGCGGGGGGGAGGGAATAGCCATGTCATAACACTTCCCTTCCACTCTCCTCTCGGGATCTTGGGCACATACGCACACGCGCCCAGCGTGAGTTTTAAGCCACTGGGTCCGGGACGCAAACCGCGGTCGACTACATGGGAGTCCAGCGACATAGCCATTATGCTAACTACTGATCCCAAAAGTCTTTCTTAAGAAAAAAAAAAGATTGGGGCCGGCAAGTGGCATGGTGGTTAAGGGCGCTGGACTCCCACATGGCCGATCACGGTTCAAGTCTCGGACCTGGTGACTTGCTTTCTCACTTCCTCTCTCTCTCTCTCTCTCTCTGTCTCTCTCTGATCAAACTGGAAAATAATAATGATAATAATAATAAATAAAGTTAAAATAAAAGAATTCTTAAAAGAAAAAACAAAGATCAATGTTTGACCATGATAAGGCTCATGTGATAACTTTCCTCTTTCCATGACTGCTTATCTTCAGTTCCATACTAGAATATCAGAGGTCATTGTAAAGCAATAGGACTTTAAAATCAAGCCTACCCAGCCACAATTACCAGCTGACTGCGACCTGTAAAGATAAGCATCTAAGGAGGCTGTGCACATTCTCAAAAACCACACTGCCAGAACTCAGAAGGCACTGTGCTTTGGGTCTGCCTGGTAAGGCAGAGTCAGAGCTACATAAACTGTCATCACTTTGTTATGACCTTCATTTTATTTTATTTTGCTAAAACCAAGGTCTCACTATATTGCCTGGACTGGCCTCAAACGTGTGATCCTCAGCCTCCCTAGGAGATGGGATTTCAGTTCACACCATCAGACCCTGCTCTATCCTCATTTTTCATCGATGACAGCCTGCCTGCTAGGCCTGGGAGTTTACCAGTTTTGACTCCAAATATATTTTTGTAGACCCTACCTCCATATCAAGAATAACACCACATTGGGACCAGAAGTTAGCATAATGGCTATGTCGCTGAACCCCCATATAATCAACTGTGGTTCGAGTCCTGGACCCGGTAGCTTAAACTCACACCAGGCGTGTCTGCGTGCGTGCCCAATATCCCAAGAGGAGAATGGAGGAGAAGGGATTGCGGCATAGCCATCCCCCCTGGAGTGGGTGGATGGGTGATTTTTCACTTTTTGTCTCTCTTTTTGTCTCTCTGTCTTTGTCTTTCTGGTGAGCACATGCGCCCTATAGCAAAAGCCTCTCCAAAATAAAAAAGAATAACCCCATTTTGGGGCTGGCAGGTGGCATGGTGGTTAAGGGCACTGGACTCCCACATAGCTAACTATGGTTTGAGTCTCGAACCTGGCAGCTTGCTCTCTTACCCTCTCTCTCTCTCTCTGTCCCTCTCTGGTCTAATTATCATAAATAAAATTATATAAAATATTTCCTTAAAAAAAAAGGATAACCCCATTTTTCAGGCCAATCCTTGATGCCTAATTTTGATTCTTTAATAATAGTAGTGAGGTTGATTCAGGATTAAAACCAACAGAGTAAAAATCTCTCTTAAAAAATGTGTTTCTGTCAGTATATGAGGGATGTGAAAAACTGTGTTAAAAATACCAACCCAGCTCCGGAGAGATTCCGAAAGTTGCTCATCTCTCTTCTACCTAAGTTTGTGCCATCATCTCATGGAACAGACATGGACACAAACCCGCTATGGCCTCAAGATTGTCATTTTGGCCATGAACTAACAGCCAGCAATGTGATCACCTTAAAGTGGATCATGATGAAAATGAACACTGGTTGTCTTGAAGAAGGGTCCACTTCAGGGCTGGTGCAAAGGATGAGTTACATGTCATTGAAACCAAGGGAATTAGTTATAAAGGCGGTCCAATTAAGTGAACACTAGTACTTTTGAAAATATCTGTAACGCCAGTGTTTTTTCTTGGGGGCTTTGAAATAAAACCACGTGTAGTCTGAGGGTGCATTGTGGTCAGCTGTGGTGCACATTCGTGGGCAGTACTTAGTAGCTGTGAAGGAAGATGCAGAATCCAAAGAGGAAGAACCAGAGGATGTGAAACTTTTTATTGTACCTGGAAACTGATCCGCCCTGGAAGTGGTGGCAAGGCTTCACAGGAAAAAGTAAAACTTGCTGCTACTGAAGATGATGAGAAGGAAAAGATGAAGGTTTTTTTTTTTTTTTTTTTTTTTTTTTAGAAGTTTCTGCTAATAGGGTATAGGCACTTGCCAGAGAGATAGATAGAAAGCGAGAAATCGCTCCCCAGGAGCAATGGCCATGCCACAATCCTTCCCCTCCATTCTCCTCTCGAGATTTCAGGCATGCACACACACACACACACACCTGGCGTGAGTTTTAAGCTGCCGGATCCAGGACTCAAACTATGGTGGACTACATGGGAATCCGGCAACAAAAATCATTACACCATCTGCTGGTTCCAGGATGAAGACGATTTTAAAGCTGAGGAAACAAAACAAAACAAAACAAAAAGTCCAGTAAGAAATTTATATGAGATACTCCTACCAAATATGCACAAATATCAAACCAAGATCAAAAAAGTAAAGAATTATTCAAAGGGCCAGCAGATGGCATAATGGTTATATTGCTGGATTCCCATGATTGTGGTTCAAGTCCTGGACCTGGCAACTTAAAACTCATGCCAGGAGCAAGTGCATGCGTGCCCACCTGAGATTCTGAGAGGAGAATGGACGAGAAGGGATTGCGGTGTGGCCATCTGCCCTGGAGGATAATTTCCCACTTTCTGCCTCTCTGTCTCTCTCAATCTCTACAGTAAGTACATGTGCCCTATAGCAAAAAATCTTTAAAAAAAAAATTCAAAAAACAGGAAACAAAACTTCTGAAACACCAAAAGGATCTAGTTCTGTAGAAGACGTTAAAGCAAAAATTCAAGTAAAATAGAAAATGTTGGTTTTCTTCCAAAAATGGAAACCGATTCCTCAATGGCGAGAGGAATTGCTTTGGAATGACTGAGCAGGAGGTTATTTGAGAATTCTAGCAGTGGAGGGTGTCTCTTGAGGAAAATAATTTACACAGTTTGTTAAAATGTTCCATCTTATTTCACTTCTGTAAGAATTGATATCTGATTGTCCTTTTTATAATGCAGAGCAAGAACATTCCCTAGCATGCTTGATCAATGTTGTCCACGTGCCATGGACAAAACGTGCTGTCCAAAATGTCTGTTCAGTTTTAAAAGATGGAACGCCACCCTCTGCTTGGTTTCAAGTATACATGGAATGTTACAACAGGATGTAATCGTAGTCGTGGTCGGGAGTATACAAAATGAAGTGAACTCAGTATTTTAACAAAATAATTTAAAGAGAAGCAGAAAGTCACTGATGCAGGGAAATCCCAGTTGTCTGTATTACTGGAAGGAAGATTGGCATGAGTTCGCAAAAGGCGTAAATAATCCTGAAGCGGTTCAGCTTCCTGATGCCTGGAGGACCTTGGGAGATCTCTCTGCTCATTACTCAGCTGAAGCTGCCCTGCTGGATGTTGCTACAAGGATATGCAGGGGACAGGGAAGGTGGGGGAGGTGGAAGGACACCTTCTTGCTCTTCAGGGGAGACCAGATACTGAAAGTTATGGTGAAGTAACTCCTTTCTCAAATGGTGGAGCTGCGTTTTGTCCAGCTATGTGTCAGCCTGGTAGAACAGGACCAGCACTGGCCCAGCTGAGGCATGCAGTTGTCATGGCAGCACTACGCAACAGTGGAGCCACAGGGGAAGGTCCAGACCGCATTCCAGGTTGACGTGAGCACACTGGGCATGCCCATGATCCTGGCTGACAGGAAGGCTGAGGGAAGGGTCATAACATGGCAATACTCTGTCAAAGTTTTTTCTTTTTCTCTCTTTCTGTCTTTGTTTTTCTACCTTGAGTGAGACAAATACAGACAGAAGAATAGAGCAATACCATCCCAACATGGACCTGACTCCATGATCCCACTCCTGCTTCAGCCTGCCACTGGCAAGTGGGTGCCTGTTGTACTTAGGGAAGTCTTTGGACACAAGTCCAAAATTTTTATATGTGGGTCATCCTCCCAGATTTTCACGTTTTAAGTTTTTAAATTATTTTTATGATTCCATGGTATGGC